TGTGGTGAACCCTCTGTATTCACTCTGGTGAAGTCTTCTCTTGATTGGTGACTTTGACACACATACACCTACCTCCTGGAGAGTGTTCTTGATCTGGCCAACTGTTGTGAAGGGTGTTTTCTTCACCAGGGAAAGAATTCTTCAGTCATCCACCACAGTTGTTTTCCGTGGTCTTCCGGTCTTTTGGTGTTGCTGAGCTCACCGGTGCGTTCCTTCTTTTTAAGAATGTTCCAAACAGTTGTTTTGGCCACGCCTAATGTTTTTGCTATCTCTCTGATGGGTTTGTTTTGTTTTTTCAGCCTAATGATGGCTTGCTTCACTGATAGTGACAACTCTTTGGATCTCATCTTGAGAGTTGACAGCAAAAGATTTCAAAATGCAAATAGCACACTTGAAATGAACTCTGGACCTTTTATCTGCTCATTGTAATTGGGATAATGAGGGAATAACACACACCTGGCCATGGAACAGCTGAGAAGCCAATTGTCCCATTACTTTTGGTCCCTTAACAAGTGGGAGGCACATATGCAAACTGTTGTAATTCCTACACCGTTCACCTGATTTGGATGTAAATACCCTCAAATTAAAGCTGACAGTCTGCAGTTAAAGCACATCTTGTTCATTTTATTTCAAATCCATTGTGGTGGTGTATAGAGCCAAAAATGTTTGAATTGTGTCGATGTCCCAATATTTATGGACCTGACTGTATATATATATTTATATATATACACACACACACACACACACACAGTATATATATATATATATATATATATTTATTTATTTATTTTTTACATATTGTCACCAGTCAGTATCCACTGCCATACCAGTCGTGTGATGGTGCTGTACTGCACTTGTGACAGTATGTAGAAAAAAGAATTGTGAAAATGGCAAATTTTATTTAATTCTCAATTTTCCAAAAAATTGTGACAAAAAAATACAACTTCAAAGAACTTTGCATGCCTCTTGCAAAATACCTTGGGCTGTCTACATTAAAAAAAGGGGTAATTTGGGGACTATTTGCATACCTCCCAACTTTTTGACATGGGAACGAGGGACACCTATTAGCAAAAGTATATTGGCATAGGACACACACCCCTGCCATGCCCCCTTAAAGGAGAATTAAACAAAAAAAAAAAGATCAGTCAAACCCACAACTGCTTTTCTTTTTACCACTACTAGTACTTTATACAGGCTTTTGAAACTGACAAATGCAGCATTAGAAGTTCAGATTTAGCACCGTGAAACACTTTTTGAAAGACAAAAAGTGCAGTTTATATACAACTATACAGATCAGACCAAAATGAAGGACAAATGAGAGGGAAAGAGGGTCAGAAGGACTTTGTTCCAAATCAGGGACAGTCCCTCAAAATCAGGGACATTTGGAAGATATGTATTTGTACTGTCCTGGCATTTTAGGGCCTCAGAAGGCTGTCAGTACATCAGGACTGATCAATTTTCAAACACATATCCCGTAGTTTGTAGACTCTATAACTTTCACACAAACTAAATAATATACTTTGATTTGGGTTATTTTTGCCAAAGCAGTGTAACAGACTACATTTTGGCCTAATTTATGAAATAAGATTGTTTGTTTGCAAAATTGTATAATAGAATCTAAGAAATTAAATTTTTTGGTATTTTTTCATTTATATAGCAAAAATAAATGAAACAATGATTGGTGAGTGGTGAGTGGTGACAGAATACCACCAAAAGAAAGCTCTATTTGTCTAAAACAAATTATAAAAATTTCATTTGGGTAAGGTGTTGCATGACCGAGCAATCGCCAATTAAAGTGCTCAATAGAAAAAATGCCATGATCATGAAGGGGGGTAAAACCTTTCAGAAATATTCCTACAGAGCGGCACTGGTGCAAAAAATCATGTATATATACGTGATTTTGCAGTACCGGGTAGGTACTCGGCTGTCAATCACCGGGTCCCGGCCGGAGATCACTGAGTATTACCGACGGGGGAGAGACCTGTCTATAAACAACACAGATCTCTCTCCTGTCAGCTCCTGCACACTACTTTGTATGGCTCTGCATAGCAGAACCATCATACAAAGTAGTGTGCTTACAGTGAAACACAACACACAGCACACACTAAAAAAAACCAAAAGAACAACAGCTCACAGTTAACCCTTTGATCGCCCCACGTTAGCCCCTTCCTGCCCAGTGCCATTAGTACAGTCTCAGTGCTTTTTATTAGCACTGTTCACTATATTGGTGTCACTGGGAATGTCAGTGACACCAAGTGAGTTCCCCCCAGTGTCAGAATGCCCGCCGCAGTCCCGCAACCCCACTTTAAGTTGCTGATCACCGCCATTGCTATTAAAAAAAAAACAAATTCAGTATATGTACCGCCATTTGTAAACACTAAAACTTTCATTTAAACCCACTAATTTACATGTATTGGGATTTTTTTGTTAGCAAAGACATGGTAGCAGACATGTAGCAGAATACATTTTGGCCTACATTTATGACGAAATTAGATTTTTAAAATTTTTTTACTGGACATGCTTAATAGCAAAAAATCTTCTTTTTTTTGTTTATAGCGCAAAAAATAAAAAAAATAAACAGGTGATCAAATACCACAGAAAAAAAGCTCTATTTGTGAAAAAAAAAGGACGTAAATTTCATTTGGGTGCAGTGTTGCATGACCGCGCAACTGTTGTGTCACAAAAAATGGCCTGGTCAGGAAGGGGGGTAAATCCTCTGGAGGGAAAGTGGTTAAACTTGTGATTTGTTGATAAACAAAACAGAATGCAACTGTCATGCTGTATTTCTGTTAAGATGCCAAAATTGTATTAACCTCTCAGTTGTACCTTACTTTTATGGTACCATACTGATTGTTACTCCATAAAGGAAACAATTTTCTCTTAATTTAATGTACTGATAGATGTAACAGATGTTAGTAAACCCACAGATATGTATCATTTGTTAGCTGTCTGGAAAACATTTTAACCAAGCCCCACCAACAAATATGGAAGAAAATCTAGGCATGAACCCATTCTTTGCCCCATCTCTGTCTCTTTGATTAGATCAGTAGGGATCCAGCATTATTTTTCACGAGAGAAGGACAGAAAAGATAGGATCCTTATAACAGAGACAGCTGCTGTTAAAGCATTGAAAAGGTTTGGCTCTGTTACAGTTTGACTATTTTTTCTCCTGATCTGGATCTATTGAGGACAATAAAGACAAACAAGAAGGGTGATTGAAACAGATCAGTTGTTGTATACCTTGACACCGGCATAGACAGGACAATGTCCCCAGTGTAAATCCAATGTCAGTCACATCTTCCAGCGGTGTAGATCCATGTTAACCATGCTGAGTGACACCCGTCAAAATAGACTCCCTACCATGTCAATGCTGCCCCCCAGCTACAGCTTTAAGTACAGCATTGGTGACATCATTTACCAATTCCAAACAAAAGTCAGCAGGAATCTGTCATTTAGAGCTGGTGGTGATAAAAGCTGCTAAATGTCAGGTTTCCGGCTACATAAGCCAGGGGCTCAGGTGGGCAGGTGAACTGGTCATATGTGGCCAGTTTGTTCAGCTGGTCACCAAACTGCAAATAGGCAGGTCAAACTCATGTTCAACCCCAAACTAAAGCTTATCCCTGGTCAGTATCTGATGTTTCTATTCCTGAATGAGACTGGGGAAGGGCACATAATGAAGACAGTTAAAGTGGTTGTAAAGGGTCAAGGTTTTTTACCTTCATGTATTCTATGTATGAAGATAAAACACCTTCTGTGAGCAGCATCCCCCCCAGCCCCCCTAATATTCACCTAAACCCCCTCTCGATCCAGCGATGTGCACTGGAGTCTCGGCTATCCCAGGACTCCCTCTTCTCATTGGCTGAGACAGAAGCGGGAGCCACTGGCTCCCACTGCTGTCAATCACAGCCAGTAAACCAATGAGTAGAGGAAGGGTGGGGCCTAGCCACGACTCCGTGTGAGTAGACACGGAGCAATGGGTGCCCCCATAGCAATTTGCTTGCTGTGGTTGCACCCGACAGGAGGGAGGGGCCAGAAGAGCCTGTGGGGGACCCAAGAAGAGGAAGATCTGGGCTGTTCTGTGCAAAACCACTGCACACAGCAGGTAAGTATAGACATGTATGTTGCTTTTCCTTAAAAAAATAAGCTTTTAGTATCACTTCATAATCTTCATGAATTCAAGTGTTGCTGTAAGGGTGCTTTTTAGGTCCTTTCCACACTGGGTTTATCTGCTTTGCTCAGCAGGGGATCTGTCAGCTTATCCCCTGCTGAGCAGAGCAGAGCAATGTGAATGACTGGTCTGTGCCTGCTCCATTTATGCAGAGCGGACATGGACCAAGCCCGCTCTGCTCTATGGTGGCCGGGTGTAAATGGACCGGCTGTGCCTTTACACCTGACTATCACCGATCCAATCTGATCCGATCCACCTAGATGGAGCAGAACAAATCCCCTTCAGTTTGTTTTTAGTGGATTGGATTGAATTGGAGGTAGGTGATGAATGGAGGGTTCAGTCAGGTTTGCCAGAAAAACTAACAGACGGACCTCATCAGAACGTCGTGTGAAAGCGGTCTAGGATATCAAGCTTGTGTAGCAGTGACTTGAGCCAATGTCAAAGAGAACCTGTCATCATGGCATCAAACATCAAAGGAGGGACTGAAGTTGCCAATAAAAAGGACCAGTCTTTATGGCATCAAAAAGATACGGTAGTGACCTAATCTGGCAGCAAAGAGGACCTGTCAAAATGGCATCATGCAGGTTTTGCAATGACTGAAGTTACAATTAAAAAAACTTAGTAAAGATAGAATTGAATAGTGCATTCATATTACTACTGTGTGCACTTTTAATTCACACACATTTTATTTTTGTTTTAATTTAAAAAAAAAAAAAAAGTAACACATTGCTGATTTATGTTGTTTAAATGCTTTCTAATGTGCAGTCAATTTGATTTAAAGTTATTAGTGTTTATGTGTCTGTGTCACTTTACATAGCATTTGACATATATTTTCTCAGATACCCCATGGTGCACTCCCATCAAAGTTAAAAACGGACATGCTACCTGTTCAAGCCCTACCCGATCTTATTATAAAACTGTGAAAGGGACTCGGTGCAACATCCACTGTCAGAAAGGCTATGAACTAAGTGGAGCATCTGAAGTTGTCTGCCAGGCAGATAAACGCTGGTCTGGCAAGTACGTATGTAAGCGTAAGTATCCTGTTTCCACTTTTCACTGTACTTTTCACCTTATACATCAACTTTTATTTTTACAAATAATTTTATTCATATGGATCTATTTTGTTTAGCTTTGCATGTCTAAAGTGCACTTGTGTAACAAATGATAACAAATAAGAAATCATGTTCGGTAATTTGTCTATTCCATAAGTGCACCCATAGACATTAGATGAACAAAGAACAATACATTTGATTTTGTGTACAGTGTTTTTTTTGTATGTGAATTAGCCTAGCAGTGTTTAAAGAATAGTCAGTTAATAGGACTGTTTTTAACTGTTCTTGGATAAACTGATCTATAACCAGATTACAAAAATATTTTTTTTGTTTAATGTTAGTACACAATAGCCTATTGTAAATAAAAGCAATGTATTGTTGTTGCTGTATGTATTTCCCTTAGTTATTTTTGGCAGGACTGAAAAAAAAAATAAACATTATAAAAATATTTTCATTTTTCAGTAAATATAAAATTTTAGATATGAATTTTATGTAGTATTTTATCCAGCCAGTAGGTGGAGTGCTAGACCTCTTTTTATATGCTTTACAGGCTATCCTTACAAACCTCCTTCTTTTGTTGAAAGAAGCATATTGTTTACAGAAATCAATAGGTGAATTCTTCTGGTGGCTCATCTCATTAGACAACTCGGTCTGAAGTTTTAATGAGAAAAAAAATCTCTTAAGCTAACCCACAGTACCATGAGGACACCTGAAAACAAATGCAGTACATGCTTACTTTTAAAAAATGTACATATATAGTAAAAAAAAAAGATATAATTTAAAAATATTATAATTTAATATAAAAAAATAAAATAGCTTTAACACAAAACCATTATAATTGCCATTTAATGTCATATTTTTAAAAATGTTTAATTTTCTAAAGATAAGTGTGTTGGCCAAAATTGTATTTACTATGCAGATAATACCCATCCAGCTTCTAAATTCTGTTTTTGTTAATGTACGGTGGATCTTCAGAGATTTTGTATGGTGAAAATCAAAACCCAGGTTAGCCTATCATATTCTCACGAGGACCAAACCAAATGAGGGTGTGGGTCTCCCCAACTTGATGAATTACTAGGGAGCAATTGCTCTAACTAGAATTTTTAGTTGGAGATACCATGCTGCTCAGAAAGCCTGAAAGTGATCTGGCCTGTACTCCATGGGTTCTGTATCTACTGTATATAGAGGTCTCTAATTCTACTTCTTTCCTTACTATTCATACCTTAAAGCTTGGGGGTTTAATTAACGAGCAAGGAGCCTCTCTCTCATCAATAGCTCCTTTACTTCCGTTGAGTGGTTTTTGTTACTTCTCTCTGGATGAGTCACTCTTTTTTTAAACCTCGGGCGGCTGATGGAGACACCAGCTGCTTTAAGTTCTTCTGGGAACGGAAGACTACGCCCATTGGGGGAACTTAGGGAGGCATATGGTAAGTTCCCACTGGATGCTTGGATATATCATCAATTACAACATTTTTGTACTGTCCATCTAAGGGCCGTTAGAATGGTAGACTCTCTTACTGGCTTTGAATCTTTATGGCTTAGGCAGCCTATTGGTAGAAGTCTGTTGTCTATTTCCTATAAATTGTTGAACAAACATGACACTATCACAGGCCTGAGATTCCATAGGGAATGGGGGACAGAGTTAGGTTGTTCCTTAACAGATTTACAGAGATGTAACATGTTAATACTGGCACATACTACTTCTATTTGCACAAAGATTCAAGAGACTAATTACAAACTTATGTCAAGGTGGTATAGGGTCTGAAGATGTTGGCCGCTGCGTACCCTTCAGACTCAAAAATATGTTGGGTTGCGGTATACAGGGATCTCATGCACATATATTGCAGGATTGTGCCAAAATTAGATCATTTTGGGCTGAGATGTCATTGCTGCTCCTGGAATGACAGCGGTCACTCTGTCAATTTTTCTTCTGAAACCTGTTAAATATACAACTAGCATGGTAATCTTTCCCATTTAATAGCATGCAGGAACAGCCCTGAAGAAGGGAGAGTTTTTCTCCTGAAATCCATTGGTTTGATGTACAGTAGTTGTCATAATTCTCAATAAATGCCTCTTAATCTACTATCAAATGTACATTTTTTTGGACTTTGGGCGCTCCTTCTTTCCTATTACTCCAAGTCGGACTGAGATCAGGAATTCAATGTTTAAAATTACTGCTGTTCTAATTCACAATGATCCTGTGCAGTGCCTTTTTCATAGCACTGGTTCTGTGTATAAAAGGAGTATATTCCCCCTTCTATTGGATGCTGCTAAGGGGCTAATCTTTTTTTTTTTTGGGAAAAAGGCCACAGATTTTACAGAGAGGTGCTTGCATTTAGGGCCCTATGCATTCAGGGATGAATGCCAGAAATGCAGACTACCTGCATTCCAAACATAGATCCCTGAACGCATAGGATGCTAAATGTGAGTACCATTTGGTACAGCATTCAGCTGCAGTGTACTTCAGCTTACCACAGACTTTTATGGGCTGGAGGTAGCAGGACTGAATTCTACACCTGTGCCTCCTGATTGCACTAAAATCCTGGGATTGGGCACACTGGCTAAATGCCTAATGTATAGGGGGGCAATAGCCGATAGCAAACAAAGGCAATAGCTGATTCTTTAAATGCAATAGATATAATCAAAGCCTAACTCCAGCCAACATATGTTACTTTATTCTGGATACAACAGGGGAGGGTTGGAGCCTTTGCCTAGTTGTGTTGCTGTTTGTGACCCTATTGGGGAGAGGGAGTAAAGGGAAGACTTCCATTCAAAATAAAAAGTGGTGGGAAATGCCTCCAAAAGTGACACAGACAATGACAGAAAGGGTCAGAACATTTTCTTCTGAGAGATGTGAGAGAAAATATAACCAACGGGGACGTTGAAATAAAAACCTCTGAATTTTTACCTTTTCTCTATGCTCTACAAAATCAAAGAGAAAGGGTGTCTTTATAGTAAAACTTACTTTTTCTTACTATCTCTAACAGCAACATACATTCTGAGTTAAAGTGACGCTAAAGTCTGCTGCACTTAAGTCCCCTCCAGCATTGGGATGTCTATGAATTATGGCCTAGGGTGATTAATTCCAGTGTATGCACAATGGAGTTCCTTCTTCCCCGAACCCAAGGCATACACACGCTCGGTATACAATCTAAAGCACCTTGCTGGCAGACAGGGAGAAAGCATTATTGCAGAAGAGACATATACAGTCATATACAGTAATATATATACATATACAGTCTCTTCTGCAATAAAAGCCTTCTTGCTAGCCATTTTTTTAATATACTAATGTTCAGCTTTAAGGTGGAAGCATTATTTTCACATTGAGAATCAGGTAGGGTGAAGCAGCTCATCTAATATTTGCATACTACAGCTTCCCAGGGTCTGGGGTTCCTGTGGTGCTCAGAATGCTATTGAACTTAAAGCGCAACTTCAACAAAAAGGGAAAGTTCCATTCTCCTCCCCGCTATATTTGCAACATAATTTTGTTTTGGGGGGGGGGAGCACGTACCTAGTTTTGACAGGTACTCGCTCCCACTTCTGCTCAAATCACCTAGGCAATCCAAGCAGAGCTTCTCCTCTCCCCCTTCCTACCCTCAGACTTATGAGACACTTCAGGTCCCAGAAGGCTGCAGGACCATTAACCGCATCTGCGCCACCCTATGCTACAGGGCGGCACAGCTGCACAAAATCATATATATATATATATATATATATATATATATATAACGGTATATATTAGTCGCTGGTCGCTGCCATTACTAGTAAAAAAAACTATTTCCAGTATATAAAACGCTATTTGTAGTGCTATATCTTTCAAGTAATGCAATTAAATTACACTTTTTGGGATTTTTTTAGCAAAGACATGTAGCAGAATACATGTTGGCATAAATTTATGATGAAATTTCATTTTTAACATTTTTTTACTGGACATGTTTAAACGCAAAAAGTCAAAAATATAGTTTTTCACAATTGTCGGTCTTTTTTTTGTTTATAGCGCAAAAAAATTAGAAACGCAGAGGTGATCAAATACCACCAAAAGAAAGCTCTATTTGTAGGAGAAAAAGGATCTGAATTTCATTTTGGGGGCAGCATTGCATGACCGCGTAATTGTCAGTTAAAGTACCGCAGTGCTGTATCGTAAAATATGGCCTGGCCAGGAAGGGGGGTAAATCCTCTTGCGGTCAAGTGGTTAACAAAGTGCAGCGTGGGTTGTGCACACTGGGCAGCTGGCAGTGAATCACGAGGGGTCAAGGAACTGACCAGGCAGCAAAGGATACCTGGACAGGAGAGTGTCTGTTTATTAAAAGTCAGCAGCTACAGTTTTTGTTGCTGATAACTTTTAATTTTTGTAGATCTGACTGAAGAACTGCTTTAAGACAATATTAATGTAGAACCACTAAAAAACAAATAACAAAAAGTATTGTGCCACTTTATGTGAGTGCATCTCTTTTTACAGTTTCTGTTAATTCCCCCCAATTTCCTGTAAAGCCTGCCACTAAAGTCCACCTAATGCAGCTTCCTGTGATGGTGGGGTAACAATGCTGCACTGCTCCTGAATGCAGAGCAGTGTTGCCACACTCATGTAGTATGTGTATGCTTGCACTACAGTGGGATGGGAAAAAACATTGCAGGGAGTGTGGCTATCAGCATTGTCACTGCTGATTCACACACCTGTAGCTTGTTTAGTAGCTCCTGGCCACACCTAGTCCTGCCCACTGCTTTCTGAATTGACAGCACTGCCTCTCTTGCTGAAACCTTCCCTGTGTGAGCTGCAGTGTCTGGGTTGGGGAGTGTTTGAGATATAAATTAAGGGCAACTTGGCTCGCTTAAGGAAAGTAAAGAAAGTTTATTTCTTTACTTTATGAGGTCCATATATCACATAGTAAGTGGATTTGGTACATGTTTAGACTGCCAATTCTGGAGTCTATAATGATTTATGAATTAATACCAAATCTGGGGGGTTGTGTGCTCAATCTTACTTCATAAAGCAGAAAAGTGAAAAGTGTAAAAACAAAAAATATTTTATTGCAGCTCACAAATTCTTAGATGTGGTGGCTGCATTAGTTTGTTCATTTTGAAGCTCTTTATTTTCACCTAGGAATTCAGTCAGTAAGCCTTCCTTTAACAGACCAAGCCATCCAGCAGAAGTGACAGTTGGAGAGTTGAGATAAGCCATTTAACACTGCTTACAATGGTCAGCTTTTATTCATGTACAACCTTTATCCCAAAAAAGAAAACTCTGTTGCTGTAACTGCCTATAACGTGCTAGCTGGAGTTCAGCTTCACTGCGTTAGCCAAATCTATTAGTGCACACTCCCTTCTCCCCAGATTGAAAATGCTGCTGTCCTATGGTGTCTCCTTGTTCCTCCATCCAGAGTGGAGACACCCTAAGGCAGGAATTGTGCAGCTGGCCAGATTACCAAGTAAAAATAAGCCTGAAAAATAAAATGAATGCAGCCATTACATTTAGGGTTGGTAAGCTGCAACATATTGAATATTTGTCTTTGGGTTAAATACTGCAGAAGGCCATTTACTTTTCTGAAAGCACATATGACATGCATTTTAATGTTTCGTTTGTTTTTTTGTTTTTTTTTAGAAAAAAGATGTGCACCTCTCACAATGCCAGTAAATGGAGGGTTTAAATGTACAGATGGGGCATACTTTAACTCCAGATGTGAATATTATTGCTCACCTGGCTACCAGCTAAAAGGAGACAGAGTTGTAACCTGCATGGACAGCAAAAACTGGAGTGGAAGAGCAGCAACTTGTGTAGGTAAGTTATTAAATATAATTTCCACAATGATCAGTACGGAAGCACAATAATGGTATGAAAGAACAAATCAGAACAAATGCTATACATAATCACAGCCAGTGAGCCAATGAGGAGAGGGGGGGGGGGGGGTCAGCCTCTGCTCTATGTCTCTTATGGAGCACACAGTGGTTTCCGCAGAGCGAGCAGCTTTACCTGGGGACACTGCTCGAGGGGGAGGAGCCAGGAGCACTGGTGGGGATCAGAAAAGGAAAGGATGGGGGCTGCTCTGTGCAAGGACAATGCACAGAGCAGGTATATATGACATGTTTGTTATTTTACAAAGCTTTAGTGTCACTTTAAGTAACACTTGCAGGTTTTGTCTCTCTCCCAGACTGTGACTGAACATTAAAAAAACAGGAGGCAGACCGCTGAGCATACCTCTCTGTCACTCTGTTCTTTTCTCCTATCAGCATACTCCCTGTTAGCGCATGAGCAAAAAAAAAAATGGCTTCTTGTGCTGCTTCTTTGTCTCCCCCTCTGTGCTCTGCTGTAAAGAAGACAGGTTGATACAGTCAGGTCCATAAATATTGGGACATCGACACAATTCTAACATTTTTGGCTCTATACACCACCACAATGGATTTGAAAGGAAACAAACAAGATGTGCTTTAACTGCAGACTGTCAGCTTTAATTTGAGGGTATTTACATCCAAATCAGGTGAACGGTGTAGGAATTACAACAGTTTGCATATGTGCCTCCCACTTGTTAAATGACCAAAAGTAATGGGACAATTGGCTTCTCAGCTGTTCCATGGCCAGGTGTGTGTTATTCCTCATTATCCCAATTACAATGAGCAGATAAAAGGTCCAGAGTTCATTTCAAGTGTGCTATTTGCATTTGGAATCTGTTGCTGTCAACTCTCAAGACGAGATCCAAAGAGCTGTCACTATCAGTGAAGCTAGCCATCATTGGGCTGAAAAAACAAAACAAACCCATCAGAGAGATAGCAAAAACATTAGGCGTGGCAAAAACAACTGTTTGGAACATTCTTAAAAAGAAGGAACGCACCGGTGAGCTCAGAAACACCAAAAGACCCGGAAGACCACGGAAAACAACTGTGGTGGATGACCGAAGAGTTCTTTCCCTGGTGTGAAGAAAACACCCTTCACAACAGTTGGCCAGATCAAAAACACTCTCCAGGAGGTAGGGCATGTGTATCAAAGTCAACAATCAAGAGAAGACTTCACCAGAGTGAATACAGAGGATTCACCACAAAATGTAAACCATTGGGGAGCCTCAAAAACAGGAAGGCCAGATTAGAGTTTGCCAAACAACATCTAAAAAAGCCTTCACAGTTCTGGAACAACATCCTATGGACAGATGAGACCAAGATCAACTTGTACCAGAGTGATGGGAAGAGAAGAGTATGGAGAAGGAAAGAAACTGCTCATGATCCTAAGCATACCACCTCATCAGTGAAGCATGGTGGTGGTAGTGTCATGGCGTGGGCATGTATGGCTGCCAATGGAACTGGTTCTCTTGTATTTATTGATGATGTGACTGCTGACAAAAGCAGCAGGATGAATTCTGAAGTGTTTCGGGCAATATTATCTGCTCATATTCAGCCAAATGCTTCAGAACTCATTGGATGCCACTTCACAGTGCAGATGGACAATGACCCAAAGCATACTGCAAAAGCAACCAAAGAGTTTTTTAAGGGAAAGAAGTGGAATGTTATGCAATGGCCAAGTCAATCACCTGACTTGAATCCGATTGAGCATGCATTTCACTTGCTGAAGACAAAACTGAAGGGAAAATGCCCCAAGAACAAGCAGGAACTGAAGGCAGTTGCAGTAGAGGCCTGGCAGAGCATCACCAGGGATGAAACCCAGCGTCTGGTGATGTCTATGCGTTCCAGACTTCACGCTGTAATTGACTGCAAAGGATTTGCAACCAAGTATTAAAAAGTGAAAGTTTGATTTATGATTATTATTCTGTCCCATTACTTTTGGTCCCTTAACAAGTGGGAGGCACATATGCAAACTGTTGTAATTCCTACACTGTTCACCTGATTTGGATGTATATACCCTCAAATTAAAGCTGACAGTCTGCAGTTAAAGCACATCTTGTTCGTTTCATTTCAAATCCATTGTGGTGGTGTATAGAGCCAAAAATGTTAGAATTGTGTCGATGTCCCAATATTTATGGATCTGACTGTATGTAAAATCAAATTCTGGAATTTACACTGCTTACATTAAAAAAAAGTAACATAGTATTAATGACTTACTGAGCTACACTAATTTGTGGCTTTTTGTCTGCCTGGAGTTTAGCTTTGTAATTTGCTCATTTTGAGCACCATTTACTGATTACTAACACAGATATTTTCATAAGCTAACTACAAAAGTCACTGATAAATGACACCAGTAATGTATAGGGCATTATCACAACAACTGTGCATGTTTTTTAGAATGCACAAACTTTACATTAGCCTGAATTACTCATTGCAGCAGCAAGGGTACAGTTCTTTTTTTTTTCCAGAGCATCGGAAGTTCACCAAAGCCTTCAGGATAAAATGTTATATCCATTAATGTTGCAGGTATAGTCAAGTCGTATGTTCAATGGCAGATAAATTAACAGGACGTGGTAGACAGCATATCTTCTATAATGTACTGTATTAGTCAGAGCCCGCAAGGTCATATCCAGAGAGATTTATGATCTTCCACTAAATTGACTGGATATTCAAGTTTAACTGCTTCTTCCTCTTCATTCTGCAGTAAATTACAGGAAAAGGAACTCATTATCTATTAAACTGTATATAGTCAAGCTTCTTTCAGCGTGAGCTGTGGGTATTGACAGTGTACTAGTAAAGCAATAGTTAATGTTTGTGATGACATCCATAATTTACAGTATTTGGTGTCAGTCAGCTTGGCACTTCTGAGAAGTATAAAAGATGAAAATGAAACTTTCTATACATTTATTTTTGATCTCTTTAGAAATCATGTAAGTAAGTACAGCAACACATAGAGATATGAAATACCATATGGTGAGGAGGGGTCTTTTGGCTTTGAAATCAACAATGGAAACACACAAGTGGGCAAGGGGTTCAGGTGAGCTGTGAACACAAGGGGTGCAGATGAGCTGTTGACAGAGGTATAGTTTTAGCAAGTAAGCTGTGGATGAGGGGTGCAGAGATGAGTGGTGAATAAAGGGGTGCAGACATGAACTGTGGGCAAGGGTTGCAGGGTGAACTGTGGAGGACAGGTGAAGAGGCGACCTGTGGATGATGGGTACAGTTGTTAGTAGTGAATAAAGGGGTGCAGACATGAACTGTGGGCAAGGGATGCGGGGTGAACTGTGGAGGAGAGGTGAAGAGGCAACCTGTGGATGATGGGTGCAGGGGAGAGTGGTGAATAAAGGGGTGCAGCCATGAAACTGTGGGCAAGGGTTTGTGGGAGTGAACTGTGGAGGAGAGGTGAATGAAGAGGAGACCTGTGGATGATGGGAGCAGAGGAGAGTGGTAAATAAAGGGGTGCAGACATGAACTGTGGGCAAGGGTTGCAGGGTGAACTGTGGAGGACAGGTGAAGAGGCGACCTGTGGATGATGGGTGCAGTTGTTAGTAGTGAATAAAGGGGTGCAGACATGAACTGTGGGCAAGGGATGAGTGGGGTGAACTGTGGAGGAGAGGTGAAGAGGCAACCTGTGGATGATGGGTGCAGGGAGAGTGGTGAATAAATGAGTGGTGAATGAACTGGGGGGCACTGTGGGTTGTGGGAGTGAACTGTGGAGGAGAGGTGAAGAGGCAACCTGTGGATGATGGGTGCAGAAATGAGTGGTGAATAAAATGAACTGTGGGCAAGGGTTGTGGGGTGAACTGTGGAGGAGACATGAACTGATGATGGGCAAGGAATAAAGGGGTGCAGACATTGATGGGCAAGGGTTGATGGGTGAACTGTGCAGAGGTGAAGAGGCAACCTGTGGATGATGGGTGCAGAGGAGAGTGGTGAATAACGGGATGCAGCCATGAACTGTGGGCAAGGGTTGTGGGAGTGAACTGTGGAGGAGAGGTGAAGAGGCGACCTGTGGATGATGGGTGCAGAAATGAGTGGTGAATAAAGGGGTTCAGACATGAACTGTGGGCAAGGGTTGCAGGGGAACTGTGGAGTAGAGGTGAAGAGGCGACTTGTGGATGATGGGTGCAGAAATGAGTGGTGAATAAAAGGGTGCAGACATGAACTCTGAGCAAGGGTTGAGGGGGGAACTGTGGAGGAGAGGTGAAGAGGCGACCTGTGGATGAGGGGTGCAGTTGTGAGTGGTGAATAAAGGGGTACAGACATGAACTGTGGGCAAGGGTTGCGGAGGTGAACTGTGGAGGAGAGGTGAAGAGGCGACCTGTGGATGATGGGTGCAAATGCAAGAAGTATGAGGGAAGGTGAGAACAGGGGGTGCAGAGCAGAGCTTTGCCTAGAGTGGAGGGGGAGCTGTGAAGGAGGGGTACAGAGGTGGGTGGCGGATGAGTTGTGCATAGGCAAATGATGGATGTAGGGTGCAAAGGCATGTGGTTCAAATAAAAATTTGAGGTGAAATAAAGATATTTTGTTAATTTTTAATGTTTAGTATTTCAACATATATAAATTAAAAACCCTTTTTTTTCTTGAGGAATTCTATCTGTCTTATATAATTAGTTGTTTCTTATATAATTTTGCAACTTACCTCTTTGAATGTTCCATAAGCCCAAACTCATGAAATGTAAAAGATGAAATTTAAAGAGCCAAAATGCTCCAATTCAAAATTGGATTTTGAATCATCAGTTCATAAAACATTATTTAGATGTTCCTCAGGTGCCTACTTTTAATTTTCTGGTTGATATGGATTATTACTGTACTTTATCCATTGTTTTACTTTATTGTTTAATAATAACTAAATGCCTTAGCTTATTTTCTGCTAAAAAAATAAATAAAATAGCTGCTGGCTTGCATTACTAAAGAAACACCACAAGATGGTAGTAAAAACATTGTTATCTTCTGATACAACTCCAGCTGTTCATCCTTGTCGTAAAATGCATCTGTAAAAATAAAGTTTGTCTATGTGTTTCTTTTCCACTCTATTCATTGTTAAAATTGATGCGTTCATACTGTATTGTAGAATAGTTTTGCGAAAACAAAAACACAATTTGAGCGTGAAAACTGATCTATGATTACATTACTGCGCATTACTCAGCATATGCTGGGAAAGAATTCTGCACTGCAGAGGTGATGCTGATGGAGCTGCTGCTGAGAGATGGTTCCTGTGTATTCTTGGTTTAAAGATTCCAATAAAGATCAAAGTATTAGGAGTTTATTTATTTGTACAATAAAATATTTTTCATTGATCTTACAATTTGAACAGTAATGCTCCTTTGCATAGCATATTTAAATGCAAGAGCATTTCTAAACAAACCACAATTTACAAATGTATGTCTAGGACAGTGGTCTCCAAACCGTGGCCTGGGGGCCAGATGAGGTACTTTGTTTGCACTATTTAACCCACTGATACCAGCAATCAGGCATAATTCCCCCCCCCCCCCCGCCCCCTTACACCAATGAAGGAGGCACAACGCCTTTTAATGACACCAGTGATGGGGCACAAGTCCTCCCAGTAACACCAATGATGGGTCACAATTCCTCTGACACAAACAATATGGCATTATTTTTTCTCACTGACGTTGGGACCTTTTCTACTCCCACTGGCCACAGTCTGGCCCTCCTAAAGTCTAAAGGACAGTAAACTGGCGCTTTGTTTAGAAAGTTTGGAGAATCCTGGTCTAGAACCGTAGGTTTGATTTTAATCTATTGAGAGATCTAACCCCTTGCCAACAGTCACTTTGTTAGACTAGTCTACATCAACAAAATCCAATATAATCTCCCCTGAGCGTACAGGTGTAGATAAAGTCTCTAAGATTAGCTGTAAATAAAAATTCCAGGAATTGTGCAGCTCTTTGAATTTCCTACGAAGGCTTGAAAACAATCTGAAGCAAAAGAAAAAACAAGGGAAGCGTAACCCAGTGCAATAAAACCTTTTATTTGACTGATATACCACGCAATATAAAATGCACTCACATGATCAATAGATAAATCATTCCTTAACATACTGTATCCACCTTGGGCAGCAACCCATCCTAAGAGTGTCTCCTTTTGCCTGACCACCTGTGATAGGCTATTCAAATACTCCTTGGCTTTCTGTCAAACGTTGTCCATCCTGATCGGTCTCCCTACCCCTACCTCCCTTTACACAGGAGCTTGATACTGTCTGCTGCCGGGGTGGCTGGAAGTGAGTGGCTCTACCAGTTCCTTCTCTCCCCTGGGCTCATATCCCACACAACAGGTTGCTGTTACATACAGAGCTTCTGGCAGTGTGCTTCATCTTCATCTGGACATCAGAAGATCACAGGTGGTCAGGTAGGAGTTGCTCATAGGATGGATTGCTGACCATAGTGCATATGTTAAGGAATAATTTATGTATTGATCCTGTGAGTACATTTTATGTTGTGTGGTATATCTGCCAAATAAAAGGTTTTATTGAGCTAGGTTGCTTTTCCCTTGTTTTTTCACTTTGTTAGGCTAGAGCTACTAGGATTTTTTGTAGTTTAATTATGCCACTAACATTGTCAGAGGTTCAATGGTGACATAACAACAGTTCACACCTTTAGCCATGTAAATCAAAGAATTTACACCTATGCAGACTTCTGGATACCAAGAGATGGGATTATTTAGTTAGAACATGGTGGTTCCACAAATTTCACACCTCCCATCCTATTCTTGCACAACAATATCTACAAATTCTCTGGTGATTGGATTAAGGTGTCAATAGCAGTGCTACCTGTGTAGATATAAATGCTGTATTATCTTCCTGGGACTCATTAGAACCAAAGAAGTGGCTTCGAGAAGCTACAAATGTCTTCAACGTTACAGAACAAGTTCTGTTGAATGTGAATAGCTACTACTAGCAATACCTGTGTAAATGAGATTCTTCACAGACATACAGTAGTTCATCCCTAGGGGTAACAATTGATCACTAAACACCTGGAACAATTGGTTCTCTACAAAATAATGTAGCAACCCCCCCCAACCCCCAAAGGCTGGTGGGAGCACCACCAGTGAAAGGGTGGGTTAGCATTTCATCTCAGAGAGTAGTCCTCAGCATTAGTGGAACAATGTGTACAGATGAGTTTCAGTCACTTTTAGATGCAAAACAAATTTATTGACTCTCACTCAATACTTCAGTGAAAGGGTAAGGGCACGGGAAACACCCATGGACTAGCAAACTTCAGAAAAGGGGAACAAAATAGTTAAAGTCTTCACAGATGGAGAGCCTTTAAGCTGACCTGGCAGTCTGTGACTGTAACTCCTGATGGTAAAGCACTTATCAATTCTGCTTTGAAAACCCTGGAAAGAAGACACCGATGAGATGCAAGGTTCAAATCTCAGCTTTTCCAGCACCTCAAAACATTTGGAGTTCCTCCATGGCTCCTCAATCCTCAGGTTACATAAGCTAAGTCTCAAACTCAAGCTGAGCTGAGCTTTAGTTGAGCTTTGGACATTCTTTGGGGAAATAACAAAGTGAAATATATCTTTTTTTAGTGCAAATATCAGAGCATTATCTATGCACAAAATCCACAATGTGATTATTCAAGTTCTATGTCTTGGTGTACTAGCCCCAACAAATTATGTTGTATGAGAGTTTCCACAAATGTCTGATTGTGTGCTTCAAAATAATGAAGCACTTGCATCAATGTTCTATGTTTAAAAAACAGTTCTAAGTTATACACTATTACCAGAGTGGTGTAAATAGTAGTGAGGAGGAGACATTAGCATCAACGATGCAACAAGAAGAGGAAAGAGGAATGTATATAGACAATCAGTAATGTGCAAGAGGCAGAGGAAAATAAAATTTAGGATGATGCCAGTGGAGTCTAGTACACTTCCATCACCATGGGACAAATAGACAAATTGACATGCTCTATTTTTATTAATTTCTTAAATTTCTTAGGTAGCCATATGGAAACTGGCACACCAGTCTTTGCTGACCCCAGGGGCGGACTGACAACTCATGGGGCCCCCGGGCAATAGGGGATCATGGGGCCCCTGTGTCCTAGCAAAAACTCAAAAAACCCTATGAAAAAGGTACCAGAGGTATCCAATGGGGCCCCTTACTGACCCCGGGCCCTCGGGCAGTGCCCGAGTTTCCAAATGGTCAGTCCACCCCTGGCTGACCCCCCTAAGTGTCAACATTTTCTGTAATCACTTTTGCTTTCTCATCAATTAACATGAAATGGCCCAACCATTAGTGAATGTTGAAATTTCAGGGGATTCTTTGGGAAGAAAATGTTATGGCTAAAAAGTCAGGATGCCTCTTATACTTACTGTTCTATGGTTATTGCTTCATTGCTTAAAGGTTATCCAGAAAGGGTCATTTTGTACCCTCAGTAATGTATCTCAAGATTTAGACAATGCAGCATCAGCTAAACACTGTAATTATGTAATTACATTCTTCACAAAAAAAGTTGATGTGTGCAAACTCAAAGTGACCTATTAAAACTGAGCTTTTAGCAAGTGGCTCTTGAGAGGTAATTTTTTACTAGTTGCGCTAGTGAACGGCACAAACTTGCTTTTTTGCATTGTGTTACTATATAGACCAATTTACAGCAGTTATTCTTTAGCTTCCTCGATAATGATTAGATATTCATTATCATGTATATCTTGTATTTCATGACATTTCTGTGATGTCTTTGCAGATTTAGAGCCACCAAGGATTCAATGTCCAAGTGTAAAGGAGAAAATAGCAGAGCCTAATAAACTGACTGCAAAAGTTTTCTGGGACACTCCCGAGGGACGAGACACAGCAGATGGAATTTTAACAGAGTAAGCTGGTTGAGAAATAAAAGTCATTACTTTGTGATTGACACCATCGGAAATCAATATTCATAATACAAAGGACAACATTTAAAACTTAAAGTACTGTATATGTGAACTCTTACCTTCTAAAATAACCCATTTTAAAATAGAAACAAAATACTAAATATTTGTGTAAATATATAGTAAATACAAACACAAATTGTAAACACCTATTTTTTCTTTTTGTTTTTCCACAAATGATCACATAATCTCTGTTCTCAGATGCTTAAGGGGCTTAGAGAGGTTGGAGTGGAGAAACAGCAGGACACTGGTCTTCTCAGTGAATGGTTGTGCAGGGGGAGTGTGTCAGCAGAAGTCTGACCACTGGAGGATAGGCAGGCTTTGCATCCAGTACAGCCAGTAAACTGACCACAATGGGATCAATGTGCTCTCATGCCAAAATAGGAAAGCAGGGGCACTAGCAGGACCACCAGGTATTTCACAATAAGGAACAGGATACATTTTAACACAAATACATGGTACAACAGGCACATATCGGAAATAGGAAATGTTGGGGTAACATATTCTTTAAGGGTACAGAGTATGCTGTTTAATTTGAATTGCACAGTTCTGTAAAAACAAAATGTTTGTAAAGGTATTATGCTGTCATACTAACAGTTAGCCGACAGCTAGCTAACAAAACTGACAGAACCGGAATTTGTGTGTCATTCGAAAACTGAATTTACTTCTGTTAATAGTTTTGTAAAACTGCAATACAATCACATAAACTGAAACTATAATATGCTTGTACATGTCTATCACAAATGCATACAATGAACACATATTTTTAAAAACAACTACCTACAAATCATATTGAATACACTGAAATTTGATCTAGCTATGTATGTGACTTTGACAAACACAATGAAAGAACTTACAGGTAAAGGTGTATCAAATGGAGAATGTCGAAGACTTTCACTGGTTTTCTCCTAAAAGCTAAAAAGGGCTGCAGTGGTTTATGGGAAATTTTATTCTTAACAAACATGAGATACTTCCTGTTCTTGTTGAACAGAATAATAAAAACAGGTGCAGTTGCAGTGAAAACCCAATAGATGGCTCCCTACTCAACACAATATCGACATACAGAACAGTGTATGAGCATAATTATTATATAATTGCCAACATTAATACCAATAATACAAAGTCATTATTTTATTATCTTAAAAGATGCATTTACTTATACTGCACTTCTGTAATGGCTAACTGTATTTTTGAGTCTATTTTATTTCTTTTTGTCTAATTTAAAGGTGTTCATATCCAACAACTATATTTTGTCAATTTCAAACCACCTGGCTTATTTAAAAAAAACTGACGACATTAAGCTGAACTTTTCTGTATTGTGTTTCAGCATTGGCACATTCACAAGTCTCTTTGCATAGAATTCCTTGATAGGATTAAGTTGCCTCTTTCTCTTTTTACTTTTTTGACCACACTTCAAGCTTTAAATTTCATTAAAAGTCAAGCACAACATATACATTGATACTACCTCTGTAACAGAACCCTACACCTTCTCCCTATCATCCTCATTTAATCACCATGAATATACTTGACGTGTATGTCGCACTAACCCCTTAGGAGCTGCTGAAGTTTTAGTTTCCCCTATAGCCCTGCACAGCCAGGCAACAAGTATTTCCACACCAACTTGCATTCAGCAATCAGTCACCAGTCCTTGAGCTTGTTTTTGGACTTTTATTAGGGGGATTTCAACTTGGATAAGGGAAGGGGTGTATGGGGTGAGAAACTGAGGACAACTTCCTGAACTATGTACAAGTGGTTACAGCAAAACAGTCTCTTCTGCAGAGCTAGTCAGCATCTCCTGTGGTACCACCCTAGACCCTAGATACTCCTTATCCAGCTGTTCTGGGTCAATCCCTGATAAGGGTACCTGGTGTCTGTCACATAACTAGTGAAACAGTCCTGGGTGGCAGGCTGATCCAGATTCTCACTAGAGTGCCTCCTTCCCCTATCCAGCCTAAAGGGTGCAGGTTCACTCACTCAGTCCTTCTCCTGTGCAGCTGGTGGGTTGGTGGCTGCTACCAAGCCTGTTAGCTGGGCTGCTCCTTCCTTGCTACACAGGTGGTCTTTGCTCTGGAGGGCAGTGAAGATCTGAGCTTTCCTCCTTCCAAGCTACACTGCCTGTAGGTGAGCCTCTCTCCATAAGGCCCCCCTCACAGGTTCCTCTCTCTAGCCTCACTCCATCTCCACCTCCCACCTGAAATTCTATCCTCCTCCTCCCCTTGTTGAGCAGGCTCAGTTACTCCTAAAGCTTGTCCTGGCCCCTTACTAAGCCTTCTGTTGGGGATTGGCCAGGATCCTCTAAAAGTACAGACTAGCCACTCCTCAGCTCCACCCACTGCTTCTAGACCTTTTTCCAAAGTTCTAGAGCAGGGGGAAATTCCAGAGGGCTGGTCTGCAGAGACCCCTAGCTCTGACCACAAGTTTACCCCTGCTATCTATCACACCCAGGCTGCTATCAGCCTTCCTAGCTACCAATTAGAGTCTAGCTCCCCCTAGCTGACCTAGAGGGTGCTACATTTATGTAAAATCATTTTTATAGCTTTGGATAGACAAGGGAAGGGTTTTACCTCGAATTTTAATGCTGTAGTTTCCCAGCTGCAGATATTCACCTCTCCATTTGTACTGGTGACCATTGTCGTGAGACAGAAAGTTAGGGAAAGTCCAAAATGTCAGTGTTGTCATCCTCCATTGGGGACACCTAGTTCTTTGAAAGCTCTGTAAGATGGGAATACCATTCATTTTGGAGAGATTTGCTTTCATTTCCTGTTGCATCTCTAAGAAGTAAAGTGAAATCTCCCACAGGCAAGAAAAAATATCCCAAAAGGGGTAACTGTATTTATTTTATTGAATGTGTCTTTTGTGGACATTTACAGATGCAGTACACACATGGCAGGCCATATATTAGTCATTTTTTTTTGTTCAACCAGTGGGTTGAACCAAATTAATGATTCTCTTCCCCCATCTATACACTCAAGGTGGATAGAGGAATGACTCCCATTGAGTTATTGTGTTCTGATAGCAGAGGAGATTTCCCCGCTGTTAAAAGAGTCGGCAACACAGCAAGATCTTCCAAAAATACAAAAGTTTATTGGCACATCAGTTCTGCTATTTTGGATTTCACCTATCGTGCTGATAACCTTTTGTATTTTTAGAAGATCTTTCCATACTGCCCACTCTTTTGAATGAAAAAATTCTAGCACGTTGCTAGAAAATAAAAGAAGAGATGGTTTCATGTGTCCATAGTAGCCTTCAGACTCAATAAAGCCGGCACCCTTTCCCCCCTATAATTCTATTTAGCAATAAATGCACAGATGTGCCCAGACAAGGAAAACAAAAATAAGATCAATTTATATTTTGAGGCTTGATGCTGCCCCCTCTAACCCTGCTGGCCTAGGCACTGGTCCACAAGTGCACGTTGTACATACAGCCCTGCCAGTCAGAGCAGTTTCCCCATATGTATATCACATAGTTGCCAATTGTCACGAATTGCCCAGGACAGTCACAAATTTTTGAATGATGTGCCGCCATGCCTCAGTCCCAGCCAGTGTCCCAGAAATCAGAGATCAGGGTGGGGGTCTCGGCCAGGGTCCCAGTAATCAGAGATCAGGGCAGGGGCAGCAGCAGGTAGGGGTTCCTAATTCTGAAAGAGCCTAGAGTAGTTAAAAGATTAAAAAGATTGAAAACGTTCCTTGCCTTACTTACTCAGCGGGAAGAGGGGGCCGCTGCAGACTGGGGACTATTTCTCCATTTTCGGGAGCGGCGGAGTAATCTTTAGTGCCGCTGTTTCCTATTAGTAAACTAAACCCCAAGCTGCTTTTGTATCAATGATGTAGAAGAGGCCGGGACATGAATTTAATGCATGGGAGCTGCTGCACTACAGATTAGTCCGTGGCACCCGAAAATGGAGAAATAGTCCCCAGTCTGCCTCGACCCCCCCCCTTTTCCGCTGAGCAAATAAGGCAAGGAAAGTTTTTTTTCTTTTAACTAATCTAGGATCTTGCAGAATTAGGAACCTCTATCTGCTACTGCCCCTCGCCCTGATCTTCAATTTCCAGGACACTGGCAACACGTGAGGCTACAGTGGATCTGGCTTGCGGCATGTTAGTCTTGCAAATTTTGCTTTCTTTGCATCTCCATCACAGGGGGGGGGCGGTCATGATGCCTAAGGGTCTCTCTCCCTGTGTTTTTTTTGGGGGGGGGGGGTGAGCAGCAGCCAATTGGGGTCTCTGTCTGGTGGGGATGGCTGTCAGTCATCTCCATCCTACACACACAGTCACCTTCATCCAGTCATCTCCATCCTACACATGCACACACATACACACACACACACCTCCATCATGTCATCTCCATCCTGCACACACACACACCTCCATCCAGTCATCTCCATCCTCCCTCATTCTGCACTATACATTCCCTATTTAACATTACCACAGTCATCTCAAACTCTATTTAACCACACCCCCTTTAAGCCATGCCCAATATTTGGCATATTTTATACCACGCCCACTTTTTTGGCATGGCTACAGCCACACCTGTAACATAAGAATGCCCCACCCCTAATTAAAGTACTGCCTACAGAGGCTTTCCTGCCACACAGAAAAAAGTGCCACTAAAAACTTTTCTCAAATGTTGGCAACTATGATATCAAAGTGAATCAAGTGGGGCAAATAAAAACATCATACCTCTGCAGAAGGTAACCTCTGCTTACAAATGGAAAAAACATGACTCCAGGTCCCTTTAAATGACTAAATGAAGCCAGTACATTTTTCTTGTAGACAGGAATTCTTTTAAGCACAAGATAATAACATTACCACTTCACTGCCTGCAGTTTTTCATTGCCCTTGTGTTATACAGTACATTAAAAAGACAGACAAGCTGATTATGCTGACTCTTTTCTTACAGTGTGACATTAAAAGGTCTGCCATCGGGGTCAGAATTCCCAGAAGGAGACCACAGAATCCAGTACACGGTGTATGATAGAGCAGAGAACAAAGCATCATGTAAATTTAATGTGCGAGTCAGAGGTATGTAAACATGGGAATAGTCTTTTTTGTAAGCAGACATATGTTAATGATTACAAAATGTAGAGGAGCTATTTGCCTATCACTTGTTTTACTGTATGATAAACCATAAAAGTAACAGAGCCATACCATAACATACACTGTATAAGGCAGTGATGGCGAACCTTTTTGAGCCCGAGTGCCCAAACTGCAACCCAAAACCAACTTATTTCTTTCAAAGTGCCAACACTGCAATGAAACCTGAATATCGAGCTTTTGGTTTAGAAAAAACAACTCGTACAGTAGTGCAAACTAATTAACAGTACAGGGATGACCAGAGACTGCGGACACAGTACAGGGATGACCAGAGACTGCGGACACAGTACAGGGATGACCAGAGACTGCGGACACAGTACAGGGATGACCAGAGACTGCGGACACAGTACAGGAGATGACCAGAGACTGCGGACATAGTACAGGGATGACCAGAGAGACAGTACAGGGATGACCAGAGACTGCAGACATAGTACAGGGATGACCAGAGACTGCGGACACAGTACAGGGATGACCAGAGACTGCGGACACAGTACAGGAGATGACCAGAGACTGACCGGACACAGTACAGGAGATGACCAGAGACTGCGGACAGTACAGGGATGACCAGAGACTGCGGACACAGTACAGGGATGACCAGAGACTGCGGACAGTACAGGGATGACCAGAGACTGCGGACAGTACAGGGATGACAGAGACTACAGTACAGGGATGACCAGAGACTGCGGACACAGTACAGGGATGACCAGAGACTGCGGACAGTACAGGGATGACCAGAGACTGCGGACAGTACAGGAGATGACCAGAGACTGCGGACACAGTACAGAGATGACCAGAGACTGCGGACACAGTACAGGGATGACCAGAGACTGCGGACTGGGGACCAGAGGACTGCGGACAGTACAGGAGATGACCAGAGACTGCGGACACAGTACAGGAGATGACCAGAGACTGCGGACACAGTACAGGAGATGACCAGAGACTGCGGACACAGTACAGGAGATGACCAGAGACTGCGGACACAGTACAGGGACCATGACCAGAGATGACCAGAGACTGCGGACACAGTACAGGAGATGACCAGAGACTGCGGACAGTACAGGGATGACCAGAGACTGCGGACACAGTACAGGGATGACCAGAGACTGCGGACACAGTACAGGGATGACCAGTGACTGCGGACAGTACAGGGATGACCAGAGACTGCGGACACAGTACAGGGATGACCAGAGACTGCGGACACAGTACAGGGATGACCAGAGACTGCGGACACAGTACAGGAGATGACCAGAGACTGCGGACAGTACAGGGATGACCAGAGACTGCGGACAGTACAGGGATGACCAGAGACTGCGGACACAGTACAGGGATGACCAGAGACTGCGGACACAGTACAGGGATGACCAGAGACTGCGGACGGACAGGGTACAGGGATGACCAGAGACTGCGGACACAGTACAGGGATGACCAGAGACTGCGGACACAGTACAGGGATGACCAGAGACTGCGGACACAGTACAGGGATGACCAGAGACTGCGGACACAGTACAGGGATGACCAGAGACTGCGGACACAGTACAGGGATGACCAGAGACTGCGGACAGTACAGGGATGACCAGAGACTGCGGACAGTACAGGGATGACCAGAGACTGCAGACACAGTACAGGAGATGACCAGAGACTGCGGACACAGTACAGGAGATGACCAGAGACTGCGGACACAGTACAGGAGATGACCAGAGACTGCGGACACAGTACAGGAGATGACCAGAGACTGCGGACACAGTACAGGGATGACCAGAGACTGCGGACACAGTACAGGGGATGACCAGAGACTGCGGACACAGTACAGGAGATGACCAGAGACTGCGGACACAGTACAGGGATGACCAGAGACTGCGGACAGTACAGGGATGACCAGAGACTGCGGACAGTACAGGGATGACCAGAGACTGCGGACATAGTACAGGGATGACCAGTGACTGCGGACAGTACAGGGATGACCAGAGACTGCGGACACAGTACAGGGATGACCAGAGACTGTGGACACAGTACAGGGATGACCAGAGACTGCGGACAGTACAGGGATGGCCAGAGACTGCGGACACAGTACAGGGATGACCAGAGACTGCGGACACAGTACAGGGATGACCAGAGACTGCGGACACAGTACAGGAGATGACCAGAGACTGCGGACACAGTACAGGGATGACCAGAGACTGCGGACACAGTACAGGAGATGACCAGAGACTGCGGACAGCACAGGGATGACCAGAGACTGCGGACACAGTACAGGGATGACCAGAGACTGCGGACACAGTACAGGGATGACCAGAGACTGCGGACAGTACAGGAGATGACCAGAGACTGCGGACAGTACAGGGGATGACCAGAGACTGCGGACAGCACAGGGATGACCAGAGACTGCGGACAGCACAGGGATGACCAGAGACTGCGGACAGCACAGGGATGACTGCTGACCTTTGGGGAGGGAGGGGGAGCGGGTACCTGAATTTGACAGGTACCCGCTCTTACTTCCGCAGAGTTTTTTTTTTATCTTACCTGTTCCTTTGTCCAGCCGCGCGCTGTCTTCCCGGCTTCTGTAGTGTGGGCGCTCGTCGGACAGCCGGATGCCCTGTGCGCATGCGCGAGAAGCGCTGCGCTTTGTGATTGGTCCGGCGGCTTCTGGGATCTGTCATGTGTCCCAGGTACCGCCTTACCATTCACAAAGAGCACTGCTTCTTGTGCATGCGCACTTGGGACCCGGCTGTCACGCACACTACAGCCGGGAAGACAGCGCGCCGCTGGATTCTCCTGGCATGCCCACAGATAAGGCTCGGCGTGCCGGCTGTGGCACGCGTGCCACGGGTTCGCCATCACTGGTATAAGGACAGTGGTTATACAGGTATTTAAATGCACGTGGAAGCATTTTAACGACTGTAACATATGTCATCAGTTCACTAAACAATTTCACCTTTTTTTTATTGCAATATGTGTTAGAAATGGACACAACTTACACAGAGAGGAGCTTAAAGTCCTACAGAGATAATAAACAATTATGTGGAGATACAAAGTAAAACCATAGAATATACAGTTTAATGTTTTAAGGGCTTGCAGAACTTACTGTATACATAGGTCATTTTTCCTCTGCAACACATGGGAATGGATGCTTTTAGCTACATTCCAAGTTCTATATAGTTTTAGGAACACTCCATAGATAACCAATATTAATTGTTGCTTACTACATAATTTTCTTACTTTTCTCCCAAGTCAGGCGCTGTGCTAAGCTGAATGCCCCAGAGAATGGGTACATTAAGTGTTCTGGAGCTGGCGATAACTATGGTGCAACCTGTGATTATTTTTGTGTTGGTGGTTATGAACTCCAAGGGAGTCCAGCACGTGTGTGCCAGTTCAATTCAGAGTGGACAGGGACTGAACCAACATGTTCCTGTAAGTATATATATTTTGTTTTTTATAACCATTCCAAGTTGTGCCAGGACCAATGATACTGTATTCAGTAGATTTTACTGTTTAAGACCAACATATTCTAAAACCCTTTTACAGAATAGCAACTAACTGTTCTAATTTCTTATCAATCTCTGCCCCAGAGGACCCTCCAAGCTAATATAAATATTTTGCAGTAATTGCACTGCTCATGTTCTTATTAAAAAATATATTAAGATCTGCCAAGGTAAAAGTGTAACATAGAAGGTGAAATGCTAGAGCAATGGTTTGCAACCATAGGGAGACCACGGCCCAGTAATTTCTTCCAAAACCTTCCTTGCCCCAACAGGGCCACAAACAATGGATAGATTGCGACCGACCCAATTCTGATCCCTATTCTAAACCTTCCCTGCTCTGTGCAGTTGTACCCAATAGCAACCAATAAAATGCATGTTTTCCCAAAAATAAACAGTGAAATGTAATTGGTTCTTACTGATTACAACTCCAGTTCTCAGTATATGTTCAATTCTCATTTTAAATGGGACTCATAACATGAATTCACACTCCAATCAGAATGAATACAAGTTTACAATAAGCAATTGCAATCTTGGTACCAAAGAAGAGGGATCACTGGGGCAGCCCTGAGCCTGGCAGACAGCAATGAAACGTTTCAGGATGAGTACAGTGTGCAGCCCCAACAATAGATAATAAGAGCCCAGGAGGAGAATATGAAAGTGAGTACATACCCCAAACTGCCCACTTTCCAGAGTCTCACACACATCTTAGTAGTAGATTCCATGGTTCCCTGACAATCTACCATGTGTGCTGCAGTTCATCCAAACCTGGTGGCCACAGGAGGCTTCTGTGTATTTTTGGATCATCCCTGTGCTGATCAACAAGCTCCTTTCCCCCTTCCAGCTTTAGATGGGTAACTGGGGCTCCACTGCAGTGTTGCAGGCTTGGGTTTGCACAGACAGGCACCAGCAGTATATACGCTGAGATCCTCAATGACATCAAGATCAATGCTGTCCTGCATTCCTGTTAGCCCCCAGATCGAGGCCAAAGCCACACGCCTCCCTCTAGCCAGCTTGTAACTGCTACTGTCTACTTGTAGAAAAGCCGGTGACCTGGTGTGCATCACTCTGCTGGGACTGTCAGGCACCCAGGGCAATTAGAAGGACCCCTGCATCTCCCCACCTTCACTCCAGGAACCAGTGGGAGTGAATAGACAGTGCACTCCTGCTGAGGCATGGTCCACATCTGCTACAACTGCTAAAGTCTATCTCTCAGAGCAGACAGAAAACCAGGGCCTGGCAGGAGGAAGGCTGTAGCCCAGTACTGGGCTATGGCCCAGTGGTTGAGAATCATTGTGCTAGAGGAATAACTTTTACTGTTTACATGTGTGCAGTATTGTCAAATGTTAAGCAGATGATGTCACTTACTGTCATTTGTAAAGCTGCATTTGTAAGCAGGTTGAAAACTGCTTAGTTAGATCTAGCCCAAGCTGGGTTGGGTAGGGTTGATGTCCAGTATAGCGGTTTAGCGGGATTTTGAATCTTCAGACGGCCCACCTGTGGAATAAATTAGGAGGAAGGCTGGAGTCTGGGGTTTTTGATGTTCTGGATACCTGCATGCCCTGATGTGCGGCGCTCCTAATTCTCTCCGGAAGAACCTTGCTTCCAAGTACTCTGGGATGCTACCAGCCATGGAGCATGCTGCCCCTTCTGGACTTTGCAACCCCTAATGGACTCTCTTTGCTGAAGACCGGTTAGTAACTTTGTAACTGTCATCATATTGTTAATTAAATTCAGTAACGATTGCTAAAATTGCCCTTAACCTGGTCTGAAGTTACTAAAGGGGTTCATAATGGGGATGGAGTATACAAAGAACCTGGGCCTGTTTAAACAGCAGAGGGGTAGGAAGTATATGGCACTAGGGTCAATAAGTCACGTCCTAATGGAGAACAAGGTCGTTACTAATGATAATCAACTTCAGTCTGTCAAGTTGCAAGCAACTAGGCGTGGTACTCTGGTAGGTGGGATATCCTCCGGTAGCGAGGGAACCCAGTTGGGATCCCTCTCTAGTGGTCTGTCTCCCTTAGCAACCTGAAGCATATCAGGATTGCGGAGGTTCCCATCCTAACCAGGAATTTTGGTACAGGAGGAGTTAATAAAGAAGAAAAAACCTCAGCGCCCAGGACTCATTTATTACACACACTATTCCCCGTGAGATGCTGCTGTACACAGGTGCAAAAACCAAAAAAACTTATATCAATAAATACCAGCGCAAACCCACATAATAAATTGCATCACCCAACCCTTTAGATTGGTAATTAATAAATATTACAAACTTAAAAAACTGTGACACAAAAACATTTTCGTGTTAATGAAATAGTGATAAAAAAATTAATAGTGATAAAAAATTAATATATATAAATGATTTTTAAATTAATAAGTCCAGTGACAAAAAACCCAAAAATAACAGTCCCGTCATAATAATGATAACGCCCTGTGGGTGGGGCGAAACGCGTTGACGCACTTCCGGTTGCCTGTTCCGGCGTCTGACGTCATTTCCGGTGAGTGGAACGCATGCCGAGCGGTGCGTTCTAAGGGGCCATCTTTGCATAGTGGATGAGTCTGCATCTGAGGTCTGTCATCCTGCTGTATACCAGGCTGTGGGGTCTCTATACAAAAGTCGCTGTACATGAAAAATAGTTTTTAAAAGAAAGATCGTTTTTGTTCCAATAAAATGCGGGTTATATCCTGCTAAAAGATGAGTGGTCTGGAGAAATTCTTTTGATTGGAAATCACTACGGTATCACACTATGGTTTTTTCTTCTTCCTGATTTTCCCTGGGGGATTCGGTGAGAGGAGTAACCAGAAGAGGTATCTATATCCGAGAGGAGGCATTATTTGGAGGTCTTATACAAAGCAAAGGGGGTCCAGGAGCCCTTAATATCCCTGAAAGGCGTTTGACTCACCATTATCTGGTGAGTGCGGTTAATGTTGGTTTTGCACTGGTGGATGGTGAAGGTATCAAAGGCACGGAAGAATCCAATGAAATTACAATATAATTAATTTTGTCACGGGACTGTTATTTTTGGGTTTTTTGTCACTGGACTTATTAATTTAAAAATCATTTATATATATTAATTTTTTATCACTATTAATTTTTTTTATCACTATTTCATTAACACGAAAATGTTTTTGTGTCACAGTTTTTTAAGTTTGTAATATGTATTAATTACCAATCTAAAGGGTTGGGTGATGCAATTTATTATGTGGGTTTGCGCTGGTATTTATTGATAACAGGAGGAGTTAACACAGGACACTTACAGGTGAAACTCGAAAAATTAGAATATCGTGCAAAAGTTCATTTATTGCAGTAATGCAACTTAAAAGGTGAAACTAATATATAAGATAGACTCATTACATGCAAAGTAAGATAGTTCAAGCTGTGATTTGTCATAATTGTGATGATTATGGCTTACAGCTCATGAAAACCCCAAATCCACAATCTCAGAAAATTAGAATATTACATGCAATCAATAAAACAAGGAATGTACATAGAACAATATCGGACCTCTGAAAAGTATAAGCATGCATATGTACTCAGTACTTGGTTTGGGTCCCTTTTGCAGCAATTACTGCCTCAATGCGGTGTGGCATGGAAGCTATCAGCCTGTGGCACTGCTGAGGTGTTATGGAAGACCATGTCTCATGTCTCTCATCTTTCTCTTGGCAATGCCCCATAGATTCTCTATGAGGTTCAGGTCAGGCGAGTTTGCTGGCCAATCAAGCACAGTAATCCCACGGTCATTGAACCAGGTTTTGGTGCTTTTGGCAGTGTGGGCAGGTGCCAAGTCCTGCTGGAAAATGAAGTCAGCATCCCCATAGAGCTCGTCTGCGGAATGAAGCATAAAGTGCTCCAAAATCTCCTGGTAGACGGGTGCGTTGACCCTGGACTTAATGAAGCACAGTGGACCAACACCAGCAGATGACATGGCTCCCCAAATCAACACAGACTGTGGAAACTTCACACTGGACTTCAAGCATCTTGCAGTGTGTGCCTCTCCATTCTTCCTCCATACTCTGGGTCCTTGGTTTCCAAATGAGATGCAAAAGTTGCTCTCATCAGAAAAGAGGACTTTAGACCACTGAGCAACAGACCAGGTCTGTTTTCTTTAGCCTAGGTAAGAGGCTAGTGACGTTGTTCGTTGTTCAGGAGCGGCTTGACAAGAGGAATACGACATATACAATACGAAGCCCATGTCCAGGATCCATCTGTGTGTGGTGGTTCTTGATGGTTTTCATGAGCTGTAAGCCATAATCATCACATTTATGACAAATCACTGCTTAAACTATCTTGCTTTGTATGTAATGAGTCTATCTCATATATTAGTTTCACCTTTTAAGTGGCATTACTGCAATAAATGAACTTTCGCACGATATTCAAATTTTTCGAGTTTCACCTGTATGTGTCCAGCGGGGTTTCATTATGTTACTGGGAGCGAGGAAGTGGAGGTACACGAGCTGGTGGAGTGGGGCAGTTTGGCCCACCACCCTGAATTCAACACATGTAACACACTGGGAGTAGAGTTATGGGACAGCTCTTGGAAAGGAGAAATGTGGATTTTGCAGTGTCAGCTCATCGCTACCTTAATGTTAAACTTTTCACATCATGGCAGTTCCTGCCGGGTCCCAGGCATTGATGAGCTTGCCTCTGGCAAAGATACCCGTAGTGTATGGGTGTGTTAGGCCCTGGCCACAAAATAGCATAGTCAGAGTAATAATTCTAACCACCCACCTTCACTTTGACTCTGGAACTCTCCTCATTGCTCTTTGCCTGCACATTCCAAACAGTTGTAGTTGTCCTCACATTGAGATTACAACATTTATTCAAACACTGGCCAACTTGGTACATTTCTTTAACTCATGACCTGCTACATGTCCAAGTGCTGTGTTCCTGGGGATAAGTTGTCTTTAGTAGGATTGGTCTCTTGGTACAGATCACACCATAATCCTATTATCCAGGCCAAGCCCTTTAGAAAGTTTATAAAATGTATGTTTGCATCAATGTATTATTATAATAATATATAGGGATTCTTAAGACTTTATGGCTCTTAGGGCTCCATGTACACTGCAGCTCCTAAACGGACGTTCAGGAGCTGTTCAGCATTTTTTCAGCAGCCCCTGAACTCTCCCTAATGTTTTCCTATGTGTCCATGTACACATAGTTGTTTACAGGCAGTTTACAGTCGTTTACAGGCAGTTGAGTTTACAGTCGTTTTTTTGAACGCACCAAACCGTGTTTTATAAGCGTTTGCTTTTAGAAGCGTTTTTTAACTGTTCCATGACCAGATGCTGTCTAGAGCCTTTTTTCATCATCAGAAATGCATGCAAAGCGTTTTCCATGTATTCAAAGGGACCTAGTACACTAGTGCAGTCAGTTCCAGGTTTTGCATGAAGGAAAAAATGGTAGAACGTGCTGCATTATGCTCATGACGGGATCCATAGTGTATACAACTAGAAAAGACAGGTCATCTCAACACATACTGCTCTCTCTGCTTCTGTTCTCTCTATTCCTCTCAAAATGTCTGAAATAGTTAATTTTTTACTATTTTTCAGTGCATTCTGGGCATTTGGGAAGGTCTCCTGAGGTTATCTTTAAAAAACGCTTCTAAACACTAACGCACATAAACGCGCATTGAGAAACATTCACTGATCAAGAACCACTAAGAACTATTAATAATCAAAGTGCTGCACTGTTTCTGTGATATTTTGTATTGAGGTTTTATTGGTTGCCTTGAGTGTACAGCCGCTGAACTGATTAGCGCTCACTTTTTATACTTTGTTCATCAAATGCGCATAAATGTGGTATGCAAACACGGTTAAACTGTCATCTTTTAACCTACCTTTTCCAGCAGTCAGTTTCTATCATTCAGAAGAGTTTTCCAAACGCCCCGGGTAGATGAGCCCTAACAGAAACAGCTGCTGCAACTAATTCTGCCTCTGTGATGGCTAGGGATACCTATGCAGGCTTCCTTTCTGAGGACGGTTGTGTTCAATAAATGGATGATACATTTCTACCTCTATACTGTCCTGTACCAGTAGAACTGCTCTTATCAACACACGGTCCCAAAAGCATTGTTACGTGTAATATTTCTGGCACCTTTGATAGCTAGTTCTGTATCTCACTTATAGAGGAAATTTACAAATGACTGTTACCTAAAGCTAGGTCATCTTACCTGTTAAAAAAAAAAAAAAAAAAAGCTACGTCATCTCTTTAAGCTGTATTATATTTTGACAATACAGGACAACTTTTTATAATGACAGCAAAGGAGCACATTTATTATATAATTTGTTTAGTAAATGGTTGATATGTAGGTTTCATAAAAAAAAATATATTTTTCTAGAGGTTATGTTGAGTAATTGAGTGTGTTAGCTAATGTTCCCCAATGTTTTAATGCAAATAACAGGCACAATATGCAGCTTGTTAGTGTAACTGTAGGATATGTTATCTTATTATTATTCTCAATTTCCCCCAGGCTGTTGACAAGGGTAGCCATGCTTTATCCTCCAGTGGCTCATAGGATTAACTGTGAAGTGCAGCTATTGAATCAATGAGCTCGCTCTCCTTCATTCACAATGCACAGTGACAGCAGCTGTTTGTTAATGATCGCAAAACGAAACAGCTTGAAGGGAGTAAAAGAGAATTTATTGTACCTTTGTAAACATGCCATATATTATCTGAGCATCTATTCTATATCTATTATGGCCCAAATATTTTTGTATTTCAATGGTTTTTATTAATTTATAAACATTTCTAGACGACGTGAGCAACAAGACACGCCCACGCAGGGGCTATCAATTGCACATAAAAAGTAAAGAAAATAGTGCTCTAACACCAACAGAGCAAAAGGTGCACCCACGCAGGGGCTATCAATGGCACATAAAAAGTAAAGTAAACAGTGCTCTAACACCAACAGAGAAAAAGGTGCGCCCACGCAGGGGCTATCAATGGCACATAAAAAGTAAAGAAAATAGTGCTCTAACACCAACAGAGCAAAAGGTGCGCCCACGCAGGGGCTATCAATGGCACATAAAAAGTAAAGTAAACAGTGCTCTAACACCAACAGAGAAAAAGGTGCGCCCACGCAGGGGCTATCAATGGCACATAAAAAGTAAAGAAAATAGTGCTCTAACACCAACAGAGCAAAAGGTACGCCCCCGCAGGGGCTATCAATGGCACATAGATTACAAAAACAGTGATATAACACTGACAGTAGCTCAAACCAAAGGCAGCTATCCACCACCCCACAAAAGACAAACAAAAATAGAAAGGAAAGAGGAGTAAAAAGGAAGAAGAAGACAAGACCAGGAGCAGGGTCCGGGAACGCCAATACCAAACAACATCACAAACCCAGACCAGCTGTGGGGAGCATGGGAAAAGCATATGTCAACCACGGCTCCCATATTTTAAAAAATTTCCATTGGGAGTCGTTACAGATACTTGACATCTGTTCATTGAGCATCAAGCCCATATATTTTTGCATGTATGATCCCGCTGTCAGGGGTTCTAACTAATTCATATTTCAATGCTACCAAACGGACTGTACCCAAAGCCTGAAAAACTCACAACCTTAGTTTTCATCAGCAGAAACACAGACTTAATCAAACACTGATTATTTAAAAAAAAAAGATTGCTTTCTTACTTAACAACCATGTCCAGTTTTTGCAAATCATACCCTCAGACCCAAGCAACACACTCTTCATCATCTAACACTGCTTACAGGGTTGCTGTCAACTGTTTTGAGAAGGAGGAGATGGTAAGATGACAACCTTCCCCTGTCCTGGTTACCCCTAGTGCAAGTACACTTCAACCAAACTCACATGTAGGTACCATTGTAAAATATAATGTTTTCCGGGAATTAGAATGATCATTATATCTGAACGTCAACGATGTAGTTAACAGGCCGATGTTGGAAATATAATTGGCTAAAAGTATCCATGAACACATGATGGTGACTAAAAGTTCTGATGGCCAAGCAAACTATTTTTTAAATGATCATGGCCAAGTGTGCCTATTTATATTGTATACAGAAACCCCTAGCACCAACCGAGTCTTGGGAAAACAACAGCGACCAGCCGTGAATATCCATCAGAGGTGATTGATACTTCTTTGCAATCCTTCAGCTAGGGGACAACTACAAAGCTATTACATTGCTCAAATGTATATGATCATTTTCCATTTCTATACCATTTATCACGTTTTTTATTACTATACCCTTTCAGTAGAGTATGACAATAATTATTTTCTTTACTATGTGTTGTTTCAGTTATGAAAATCAATGTCGTACTGAGAAATGCAGTTGAATTTCTCGATCAGTTTTATGAAAAACGAAGAATAGTTGTATTGTCAACACCAACAGCTGCAGATTTTTACTACAGATTACAAGTTGGAACACTTCAGGTATGAACATAAATAGATAAAAATAATAATAAATACAATAATTTTTAGATATCAGATTGGAGCTAGAAGGTTTAAAAGTTTTTCATTATCTCTTACCTCAACTATAACAAATGATGCAGCACAGGGGTATAGTATACCATAAGTTCTTGACTAGTGTTATAAGTCCTCCAGGGGGGTAGTTGGGATTCTGTATGTTAGTACTTCCATTTCTGAAATGAATCCGAGAGGTTCAGAGTTTTAGGAAATAATAGTTGATGGAAAAAATTAAAGCAGAACCCCAGCATTTGTGTAGGAAGGGTACATTGAATTTTGGCTTGTGAGGATTGATGCAGCTGGTTTCAACATAAGCATTCAAGCAGGAATATTTTTAGCATGTGAAGTTTTTCTAAGAGCAGTCAGGTTGAAATTCTAGTCAAAATGTTTCCACTTATCTATATTTTTCTTGCAGTGTTGTTTCCTGTCCCTTAGGCCTGTTTCAGATGGGCTTCAGGTTGTATGAGAGCATTGTGAACAGCAAGCTTTGACAAAGCATTTGCAGAACACAGATCCTAATAGTAGTGCTGATCGTCACGTTAAACAAGCTGCTAGCAGGTTTCAGGCTGAAGCCTGCTAGCAGCTTATTTACAGTAGCAATCAGCACTCTCATTGAGATCTGTGTATAACATTTTAAAACAAGAGCTGAAGGGCTCTTTAAAGATTTGAAGCTTTTCAAAAGCTTTGCAAAAGCTTGCTGAAACTGTCATAAAAAAAATGCTGTTCACATTGCTCTTATACAAGCTGAAGCCTGTGTAAAACAGGCCTGATAGCAGGATGGCAAAGAAATGCTTTTCTTTATGGTGTCATGTATGTTATGTACAGTATATGGTGACTTCCTGCCATGCAGTGTTACTTCTTATGAGTCTGGACATCGTGCTTAAAATATATTTCTCACAATATATATTATTCTTAATGAAAGAAAGTTAAACATTGGAGTAGGGGCTACAGGATCATTACACCATATGCTTTATGATGTGTTTTCACTTTGTTTCTAGCAAGCCCAGTGTGGCTTGGACATACGGCATGTGACAGTCATTGAATTATTTGGTGTATATCCAACATACATTGGAAGAATAGGACGCATGCTACTTCCCCCAGCACTAGGACTACAACTCAGGTACTGTGGTTATACAAAATGTTCCTGCACATTAAGGGTTTATTTACAGGTCAATAATTAAAATGTCAGCCAAGGCAATGTTCAGTGACATTATAAATATGTTATTGTTCCTTATACCAGTATTTGGCAGCTAGGAGGCTAAATACTTCAGAACTCTCTTTAGGAGGGCCTGGAGCCTATTTACAATAGTTTACAATGTATATTTTGCCAGATTTTCATGGGAAATAGCAGCAGTTTTCATCAGTTTTTTATGTTTATAATGCCGCTCTGGATGCTTTCTTAAAGAAGAACTAAACTCTAGGAACTGTGTCCAAAAAGTCAAACCTAGGGAAGAGGACTAGTTACCAGTATTGCCTGTGGTTTTCCAGTAGCTGATCTTCCCCATTGGTGACCTACCATGTCCTGTGCTGTATCTCTTTGTGGAGGTGGTTATCTTGGTAGAGGCAGAGATTTTGCTTCATCAAACCTCCAAAAAGAAGAACAGCGAGCAGCACATTAGTGATTTCACCAAATCTTACTTTAAATGTCCTGAGGCTAGCAGTCAGATGCAGCAGTGCCTTAGATCTCATACTGTGGTTATAGAACTCTGACCCTGTAGGCACAGCAGTGCCTAGGCACTCAAGTACACACAATCAGAAAATCGGAAGAAAAATAACGCTTTCGAAGCGATTGTACGATAATCTGATTGTTAGTACACAGCTACATTGAAATTTTTCTCGTACTATACCAGAACATATGTTTTTCATTTAATCAGTATTCACCTGAAAAAAAATTAGAAGACCAAGACCACGCATGCTCAGAAACGTAATAATACATTACATTACTTCCAAATTTGTATTCTGTCATAAGAGAATTTTTGTAACTTTAGTAATCCCTTCATTTTCGATATGAGACTAGCATGCAAAAAAAAACAGACAATCATTCATCCAATATTCTCTGATAATCTCATCCTGTATGCTGTTGTAATTATTATTATTTGTATTATTATTATTATTATTATAGCTCAGTGTTTCTCAACCTTTTTTCAGTCAAGGCACCCTTTAAAATTACGGACAGTCCCGAGGCATCCTTTAAAATTATGGACAGTCTTACGGCACCCCATTGTAAAATGGGGTGCCTCAAGAGTGTCCATAATTTTATAGAGGCACTCATTCTAAAATGTGAAAAAACTATTCTAATAGTTTTATATAACACAGCAACATCCACACATGGAGGACACCCAACATTACTGGTGATTTATTCTTTCAAAGCAAATACACTTCTGCATACTGGTACTGACTAGTATTCTAATGTTTCTCTTCTCCCTCAGTTTTTCTCCATCACTGAGCTAATGTGACCCCAGCAATGATGGAGAGGGGCAGGGGAGGGTCAAACCAGGATACTGTGCAGGCAGCTGACAACCTCCTTAACTGATGATGTCATTTGTTGTCAGGACGCTAGCAGGTAGAAGGTCGTAATGGTGCACAATGAAAACCTGTGGCTTTGTGTAACTAAAAGACAGGCTTGTTCCACCCACTGGCTTGTATACAAGTTTTGGGCAGTTTTTAGATATTTTGCCTGGGCACCCTGGTTGAGAAAGGCTGTTATAGCTAAATGATACATTTCTGGTATAGCTTATGCCTAATTTAACATTTCTGCATTTACCTTACATTAATTTGCAGATAGATTTTTATAAACAGTTTTATTCTTTTGCATAAAAAATTAAATGGCTCTACCCACTGTCATGGAATGATAAATAATCCTTTTATTTTTGTAATATGTGATTTAATGAGCCATGTGAATATTTTGTGTTCCAAGAAAGCTTTACTGTGCTATGCACTGATTCTGTTGGAGGACTTTTTGATTTCAGTCCCTTCTCACCATAACCTGTATGATTAAACTTTCTGAGATTTTACAAAACCAAATGTAGCATCATCCAGAGTACAATGTAGGTTCAGTGGGGGGAAGCTGGAAAAAAGACCTTTCCCAAAAGTGGCATGTTTTCAGATTTTCTTCATATCAACATTCTGCATTAGTTTTATCTATGTTTTAAAGTGGAGTTCCACTCAAAAGCGGAAGCTCTGCTTATTTGCCTCCTCCCCCCCTCCGCTGCCATATTTGGCACCTTTTGGGGGAACGGATACCTGTTTTTGACAGGTACTCGCTCCCACTTCCGGCTCACTTCACCATGGCGAAGTGAGATGGAAGTTCAGCCTCCTCCTTCCTCCTGCAGTCTCCTGGGAACCTTCGCAGGTCCCAGAAGACTGCCGGACCAATGAGAATGTGCAGCATGACTCGCGCATGCGCAGTGGGCACCCAGCTGTGAAGGCGCAAGCTGTGACAGCCTGGTGCCCACAGTTGTGATGCCAGCACCGGGAAGTGAAGAGGGAGAAAAGGGATGGCGCAGATGAGCACATCTCTGGACCCCGGGACAGGTGAGTGTGTGTTTATTAAAAGTCAGCAGCTACAGTTTTTAAAAAACATAAAACTGACTGGAACTCGGCTTTAACATTTTTCACTGATCTTCACTATAACATTGCAACTTCTCAAGGTAAACATTGGAGAAACTTCAAGTAAGAGTTTAGTGACAATATTGATTACAGTAGCTTTAAACTAACAAAAAAACGAATTGTTTTGTATGAACGGCCCCTAGCACAAAATGAGCCTCATCTATAAAAGAGCGATACGTCTGATTTACCCTTGGGTGCATTAGCCTTCAGTGGGGGCTTTCAGCTCTTGAAAACTAGTTAAAATAAAATACTGTCCTCCAAGAGTCCCAAACTCCAAACAATCCCTAACTGTAAAGCACTAACATGTAATCATACTTCTGTTATCCCTAACCCCTCACACTTAAACTAGCCTTAAAGTGAAGTTGCATGGGCAAAGCAACAGATTGACTTAACCTCCTCGGCGGTATGATTCTTTCCGATTTTTTGTGCTGAAAGCGGTACCATTTTTTTGCATGGAAATATGTAGTTTTTTATTGTAGGCTGTAATTTTTAGGAATAACTCACTGAAATCTGTCCGAACAAGAGTCTAGTAAACATTCCGGATATGATAAAACTTGAAACATGAAATCATAAATTATAATTTAATAAATAATCATAAAAAATAATAATATAATAATAATAAATTTAATTCAATAATATAATCAAACCAAAAACACTGAAATTTGAAATACAGAGGCAAATTTGCACATTGCTGAGCAAAGTCGCAAAATCGTCTTCAGTGTCTGATGACGAATTTCCCCATGAATCATTATCACTCAATTCTGCAAGTGGTTCTGATTTACTATCGCCGTTCTAAAACCGCTTTTGACGTAAAGGTACGCTTTTTGGATGCCATGGACTTTTCTAAGTTTCCAGGCAGAAAGAACAGTCAAAATGCAGGAAGGCAGGGCACAGGACAAAGCAGTAGGGACAAAATATATGTGAAATGCATTGAAACAGCAAAAATGAAATTTTTTAAAAATTTCAAATTTCTTCCGCGCGCCCGAACGTCCCGACGTCACAGGGACCAGAACACGGAAGCCTGGATGCCGACATCGGCCGGAGGAGATGGCCGGGGATGCTGCAGGGGACACATCGCGGGAGCGAAGGACAAGGTAAGTGCTGCAGGGACCCCCTGAGCAACGCCGCATGGTAAGCCCGAGTGTAGCTCGGGATTACCGCTCTTGGTATTGAAATTTTACCCCGAGCTACACTCGGGAAAACCGCTAAGGAGATTAAAGAAGAACTCTGGGATAGGCAAAAAAATTCACCAATTAGTACATTCCCCTACACAAAACACTAAACAGTTAATAAAATTTAGAAAATTCTTACCATTTAGGAGAATAGTCTGAGTTTTCATGACCTCGTTTATGTAATTCAAAAGATAACAGCCTCTGCTTTGTCAGGGGGAGGAGGTGTAACAACAGGGATTACATAATATCCTCTCCTTTCTCTCTCTCTCTGCAGGAAAGGAGACTACAGTTTCCATCAACCACTGGGATTTGTAGTGAATGTGGGTGGGTACACTAGGCCTCTACATGTTGAATGTGTTTTAAAGTCCCAGTACGCCCACAACAGCATGCGGGACTGAATTACATCACTGCTTCATGGAGAAAGAACTACAGAAGGGGCATCCCATAGCAGAGGCTGGGGTAATAGGAGGCATTGCAGCCACTGGTCTTAAAAAAAGGAAACCAGGTCACCCTTGTCTCTTTAGTCTATCTCCAACCATTGTCCCTTGTCTTCACCCCTTACTAACTTCCCAGTACAGCATCTTTAGAGAATAGATAGCCCAGTAGCAACAAAACATCAATAATAAATCCCCAAAACCAACAATATATTACCCCACTAGCAACATTAACTCCACAGCCACAAAAGATGATCAAGCAGTAGCAATAACTCCCCTAACAGCAACAATAAATCCCCCAGCATCAGCAATAAATCCACATCAACCGTAATAAATCCCCAGAAGCAACAATATATACCCCAGCCTGCAGCAACGATGCATCCCCCAGTCAGCAGCAACAATAGATTCACATGCAGGCAGCAATAGATTCCTCTAGTAGCAGCAACATATGCCTTCTGAACTAATACACATGAACAATATGCTAGTCACTGTGGGTAGGATTTAGTAGATAAAGGTTAAATTCTGCAATCAGTAGACAAGCCAACTAAGAATATTTGCTGTAGACTGCTGAGCAAAGGTAGTCAAGACTGAGTCAGGACTGAGATGGACGACCAGGAGCAGGCCCTTGCACAGATTTAGTTGCCTCCTTCTTTTCCCACCAACTTACCAAGAGGTAGAGATGGATTCACTCTTAAGAGAGGGAGAGGTGGAAGGTATTTGATATCATTCTTCTTGGGACAGCTCTGGCCTGCAGACACAAAAAGATCTCAACACAAAAAAAAAATCTTGTTGCAAAATTAAAATTGGGATTTTGTTTGTGTCAAGCAATCCATTCTCATTTTTTCACGTAAGTTATAGTGTCATTTCTGAAAGCTAACAACAGATGGTAATGGATCTCCAGCTAT